CAAAGTCAAAGTCAGCTTTATTGTCAAATATGCTATACATGCACGACATACAGCACAGATGAAATTTCAGTCCTCTCTGACCCACGGTGCAAACAGGCAATAAAAATACATTTTCTATAAATAGAAAAGACATAAAATAAACAATCAACAATTTAACAAGACATAAAATAAACAATCAATAAGACATCAAATAAACAATCAACAATTTAACAGGTATAAAGTAAACAATCAACAATCAACAGTCAACAAGACATAAAATAAACAATCAACAATCAACAAGACATAAAATAAACAATCAACAATTTAACAGACATAAAATAAACAATCAACAATCAACAAGACATAAAATAAACAAGCAACAATCAACAAGACATAAAATAAACAATCAACAATTTAACAGATATAAAATAAACAAGCAACAATCAACAAGACATAAAATAAACAATCAACAATCAACAAGACATAAAATAAACAACAATCAACAATCAGTCAACAAAACTTTTTTTTAAGACATAAAATAAACAACAATCAACAATCAGTCAACAAAACCTTTTTAAATAAAAGATATATAGATGTATATATATATGAGTATTTGACAGCTGAATTTAGTAGTTACTTTAAAGTTAAAAATTAAAAAAATATTCTTGATTAAATAACTGAACAGTACAATTAGATAAAATTGACTCCACCTTGGCCAACGACAACCTAAACATCCTGCTTTATCCAGTGGGAACATAATACAACTTTTATTATACATTTTCTGAAATTCTGCATTATGAATATTACACTCACACTGTACTTTTGATACTTTAACAAACTCATCAAAACCTTTCTAATATTTAGAGGTATTAGTAGCCGATAGGGGGCGCTAATACTCCACTCGGACGGTGGAGCGACCGACCTCCGAAGAAGAAGACCGCAGCGGAGTAAAGTACTCTCTTCCAGCATCATCAGTCTCCACCATCATCACTTCTATTCAGCCTTAACGCTCACGAAGCCGGGTCCTGTTGTCACCTGTGTGTTTAAATCCACCGTCTGATCTCAGGTATTTTAATCTGCCTTCATAACGGGGCTTCTTGTAGCCGCCTCAGCTACCGACAGAGAGGCGGAGGGGCTCGGGCGTTGGTTGCGATGCTACCGTTAGTCGCTCGTTATAACGGCAGGCCCGCCGGCTGCCATGGAGATTAGCATGCTAACACAGCTCAGCTATCTGACAGTGGAGCCGACGACAGTATAAAAAGGTTTGCTCGTATCCTTGACCTAGCAGAAAAGCCTTCATAACACGAAAGGTTCGCTCAGTGTGCGACTTATAACGGAGAAACGTAAGGTGAAGTGCACATAATAGCTAGTGGTTTTTTTTTTTTTTAAATGTATTTAGGCGGAGTGGTGTTGGAGCATCTCGGTTGTCCAACTGTTATGGACTCAAATTTAATAGGATTAAAGATGAATGTGGTCAGTTTGTAGCTGTATATGGAGACATTAGACTAACGTTAGTTAAGTTAAGTTAGCTGCGCCATTATTCAAAACGCTGCTAGCCCGGACTTGTACTGTACAGACGTGAGAGTTAGGATAAACAAAACGAAGGATATTTATTTTTTGGGACAAAAATATATAAATGTGGGAGTCATATTTATCTAGCCCAATAGCATATGTTCAGTTTATATATTTTTTGGAATAATAATCCCTCTCGTGGTTAGCCATCAAATTACGGAGAAAACAGATAAAGAGGACATTGTTATGGTTGTTCACATGTTACCAGGATGACAGGCCCAGGGCTAATGCTGCACAGCCACTGGTCCAAACATCACAGTCTGCAGTTTGCTACCACTGATAGGTGAAGTTTGCACACTGGAAAAGTCACAAGGCAAAGCACAACTTCCCTAACAAAAAGGCATTTTGTGGGGCTGTGCAGAATTTCTAATGTTTCACGAATGACCTTGCAGCTGTTAAATATATCTTTGTCACTCAAGCACCCTCCTTTTCGAAGTGTTTTCCACAGGCTTGGCCTCAACCTGGACAAAGGAAGCTGGAAAAAGCTTCCTTTTACTCGCATGAATAAAATGTCAAAGTGTTTCCATGTGTTTAAGATAAAATTGCATCAAATAGAGAAGGGCGGCATCCATTCATTATCGATTCATCTGAAGATTTTTTCAATTGTATATAAAATATCATTCCATGTTTTATCCCACACTCATTCTACAGTATTTATTTTACTATGTATGAGAAAGAAGCAGAAAAATTCACATTTTAGAAGCTGTGAACTAAGAATGTTTGGTATTGCTTGAAAAAGGTTTAGTTGTTGATCTATTTTCTGTCAATTGATTAATCCGTTCAGCTCTAAAATAGATCTGCAGTGTAGTTTTGAAGCGTTTGCAATTAGATCACCTCAGCCCGAACAGTCTTCTTGCTCAGGGCTGAGTCATTCACAAATTAGTGTTGGATTGTACATAGATTCAGTGCTCATGTGGACTCACGGGGCAATCAGGGCGATTAAATGATTATAATCTAATAATAATAATGTCATACATAAGGATTTCTTAATAGAGATTTTGCCCTCCTTGCTTTGTCTCCAGTACAGGAATGGCTGCACTTGTACGGACTCTGTGTATTGCTCAAGGACATGATGTTTTCAACACTGGAGCTTTAACTCTGGTCCTCCACTTGAATGACACTCTCCTCCTGTCTTTGTGACGGACATTTTTCACCATTTTTCGACCTTTTTAAAGACCAAACGATTAATCAGTCAGAAAACAATTGGCAGATTAATGGATGATGAATATATTTGTTAGTTGCAGCAATACTAAACACCCTGTAAGCCTAGTATTCAGGCATTTACTTCAGGCTTATTATGAGTGAAGCCAATCAATAAGCTAAGATTAAATAACTGATAAAAACTCCAAAAACCTTCCTCCCACAGTATGTCTGACAAGAGTGAGCTGAAGGCTGAACTGGAGAGGAAGAAACAACGGATCGCCCAGATTCGAGAGGAGAAGAAGAGAAAAGAAGAGGAGAAAAAAAAGAAGGATGTAAGTGGTAGAAACAAAAAACCCAACGCCTCGAATTTCACATATCCCCGAAGAACCTGATAGGCTACAGCTTGTCCTGTACTCTGTAGGGAGACTCCAAGCGTGGAGTCGAGGCGGGTGGCGGGTCTTCTGAAGACTCTGACCTGGAGAGGAAGAGGAGGGAGGCGGAGGCTCTGCTGCAGAGTGTCGGCATTACCCCTGACATACCCCACGGTAAACACGCAACACCCGCATGCTTCTGTTCTTCTCGTTCACCCTCACTTATCTTCCATCACTTTCTGGTCGTCTGTTCGATGGATTTTCAGTGTTTCTAAGTGTCACCTCTAACTTTGCTGTCTGGCTTGGTTTCCGTCACTGCCACGCCGCCCCCTCACCTCCCACAATATCTGAACATTTTATATAACTGTTGTGCATGACACCTAAACCTGCCTGCCATTTATTTTCATTCTCTCTTCTCTCCCCTTTGTTTGTCCTTTTGTGTGTTGTCCTCCTTACTGCATGCAAACTCATTCACTCACACACTCATTGACACACTTCTGTCATACCTCACTTCCTCCCTCACGTTCTCACGCTCTCACTCTCTCCCTCACTTCCTCGCCCATTCATCAAATGACACACACTTACAAACACACACGCACGCTCACAGCTCAGCCCCTGAGGGTAGTAACAGAAGATACATGTCTGTTTCACTACCTAGTCCCCGCCCCCATGTCTCCCTCCAACAAATCAGTGGGCAGCGATGCAGGAAGCCAAGATTCTGGAGACGGAAACGCAGGACCAAGGTCTGTGTGTGTGTGTGTGAGAGAGAGAGAGAGAGAGATGGAGATTGGTTGTTTAGGTCATTTTTATGTAATGTTGGGTTGTACCTGCATGCCAAGTGTGTAAACATGAAAAATATACTTGATGAATTCTGACATGTCTCCTCTTTGCTTTTTCACCGGCACGCTGACGTTTCTCAATTAACACGCACTCCGTTCTTCTTCTCTCTCTGTCTTTCTCCCTCTTGGTTTGCTGTCTTTCCCATCTTTAACGTCCCGTATATGGCTCACCTTTTGCCCGTCTTCTGCGTTTGGTTTCATCCTCTTGTTTTCCTCTTTCTTTCTGTCCTGTCTTTCTCTTACTAACATCGTCTGGTGGTTTGGCTGTTTAAGGACATTGCATTGGG